AAAACTGAGTTCATAAGATAGCTGGAAGGATAAAATGCTATAATCTGAATAAAGCACTTGGCAAAGTACATGGCACATAACATGGGTTCCACTGTAAAGATCCCAAGAGTATATCTTAACTGGGTTTCATAAACTACGTAAATAAATAGGGTTTTTTGTTCTCTCTAACTGAATAAGCTAGAATGAGCCATACCAGTACTTTTCAAAATTTAATGTTTATCCCTATAACAACCTGGAGACTGTCTTTTGGCTTCCACGGTTTTTGCTAAAAACCTTGAAAAGCATGGTTTTGTTGAAAAAGATAGTTTCTTATTCATTGATTCTGGGATGGGCCCGAGATACTGCATTTCTAACAACTTCCCTGGTGATATTGATACTACTAAACCGTGGACCAACAGATGGATTTAACAACACACAATATACTATAGAAGATAGAATTAGTCAACACAGTAACAAGTCAACAGAAAGCACCCAAATTGAAGGACAAGAAAATAACAGAATGGAAATAACTGAAGAGAGTATAAAAGGCATTTAAGACCTGTCAAACAGACCTAATTTACATGTAACTGAATAGCCCAGAATTTTCCAAAGCTAAACAGATACTGACCTACAAATTCAGCAAAATCAGAGAGCCCAAAGCAAAATAAAGACAAAGAAAACAACATATAGGTACACCACAGTCAAACTGCTAAAGATGAACAACAGAAAGAAAAATCTTAAAAGTAACCAGAGTGTAGAAACATATTCCCTTCAAAGGAGAAATAAAAGATTAATAGGTAGCTTTTCAACAAGAACCAGGGAAGCCAAAAGACAATGAATGAATATGACATATTGAGAATACTGAATGAAAAAAAGCCAACCAGAAATTCTATACCCTGTGACAATATCTTTCAAAAAAGAAATCAGAAAGAAAAGACATTCTCAGACAAGTAAGAGCTGAAGGTATCGGTCATCAGCAAACCTGTGATACAGAAATACTAAAAGGAGTTCTTTAGACTGAAGGAAAATGATGTCCGGTGGAAGCATGGGAGGAAAGAATAAATAACAAAGGAAAGAGTAAATACAAAAGAATTACTATTAAAGCAACAATAATATAAGTGCCCTGTGGGGTTTATGATGTCTACAGAAATAAAACATATGATACCAATAGTACCAAAAGTGAAAAGAAGTAAATGGAGTTGAACTGCTCTCAAGCTCTTGAATTGTTTAGAAAATTATAACATACGAGCTTAAGATTGTAATAAGCCAAAAATGTACATTGTGATATCTAGGATAATTCTAAAAGAACAGTACAAAAACTCTAACACAAAATCTAATAAAAGGATAAAAAAAAATACAATCTCGAAAAACAATAAGAAAGTTGGAAAACTCACAATTCCTGATTGTAAAACTTTTTACAAAGCTATAATGATGCAGAGAGATAGATAGACACCAGAAGTGAAAATCCAGAAACAAACCCACTCATTTATGGCCAAATGATACTTTGAAAGGGTTCTGAGACTACTGAGTGGGGAAATCATAGCCTCTTCATCAAATGGTGCTGGGATTTGAATGTAGATATCCATTTGTTACTGGCTTTTAACACTTCCTATAATATTTACAAGGTTCATCCATTTTGCACCATGTATTTGATACTATTTAGCTGAATATTATTCAGCCATAAAAGAATAATGTACTAATACATGGTACAACATAGACGAAACTTATAAACACTATACAAAATGGTAGAAGTCATTAACACACAGACATTCACATGCAAAAGAGTGACACTGCACCTCTACCTCAAACCAGCTGCAAAAACGAACTCAAAGTGAAGCAAAACTACAACTATAAAGCTCCTGGAAGAAACTACAGGGGCAATTCTTCAAGAACTTGGATTTTTGCAACAGATTCTTAGATATGACACAAAAACACAAGCAACAACAACAAAAATAAATAAAAAATGTTTCATTAGAATGGAAAATCTTTGCTTCAAAGGACACTACCAGATCCAGACAGTGAAAAGACAAAACACAAAATGAGAGAAAAGACTTCCAAATCATATATTTGATAAAGGATCTGTATCTAGAAAATATAACTATTAACAACTCAACAACAAACAAACAAACAAAAAACCTTTAAAAAAGGGACAAATGATATGAATAGACATTTCTCCAAAGAAGATACATAAATTGCCAATAACCACTGCAATGATGCTCAAAAGAATTGGTAATCAGGAAAAAAAATTAAAACTACAATAAGATACTATTTTATACCCATTAGAATGGATATAAGTTTTAAAAGTCATATAACAACAAGTGTCATTAGGGATGTGGAATAATCAGAACCCTGATGCATACTGGTATGAATAAAAAAATGGTGCAGCCATTTTGGAAAATACTCTGGTAGTTCCTCAAAAAGTTAAACATAGATTTACCATTTGACCCATAATTCCACTCCTGGGTATACACACAGAAATTAAATCATCTGTCCATGTTGTACACAACTTTGTATACAATGTTCACAGGAACATTATTCATGATAGACAAAGATCAAAACAGCCAAAATGTCCAGCAAATGATCAACAGTTAAATCATATGTAGCATTATCCATACAGTAGCATATTATCCAGTCATAAAAGAATGAAGTACTGACAGATGGTACAGTATGGATAAATTTCACAAAAACTGCATGAGTAGACTATTCTGGGGTTTCTCTTCAAATCATAAAAATCTTTCAACTTTTACTAAAGATTTTCATGGCAATCGGCTATCATATGAGTATAAGAAGCTAGTAACAAAGGGTCACCTATTATATGACCCCATCTATATGAAATACCTAGACAAACAAATGTATTGAGACAGAATATAGATTAAGGGATACCTGAGGCTGGAGAGGGATGAGGGGATTTGACAGTGATAGTCAATAAGCTCAGAGTTTCTTTTGGGGTGAAAAAGTGTTCTAAAATTGACTGGTGATACTAAAAATCACTGAAATGTACCCTTTCTAAAAGTATGAAATATGGATCATTTATCAGTAAAACTTTTTCAAAAAAACACAATGAGATACCACTTCACACCCACCAGTGTCATTCATCAGAAAGACAGGTAATAACAAGTGTTGATCAGGACATAGAAAAATTGGGACCTTCATACACTGGTGGTGGAAATGTAAAATGATTTAGGTGCCCAGAAAATATTCTGGTGGTTCCTCAAAACGTTAGGCACAAAGTCACAGTATGACTCAGGAATTCAACTCCTTGTCACAAAAAATAAAAATTAAAAAAAAAAAAACCCCACATATGGCATGATTCCACTTATATGAAATGTTCCAAACAAACAAATTCTTAGAGAAATAAGTATATTTGTTGTTGGGAGCTGGGAAAGAAATGGGAAATGATTTCTGATGGGTAAGAGGTTTCTTTCTGGGGGTGGAAAACTGATATGATAGTTGCATGGCTCTGTGAATGTACTAGAAATATTGGATTAATGAAAGGAAGAAGAAAGAAAAGGAGGAGATCTCAAAAGCAGCTAAGTAAACCACCCACCAATTACCTAACCATGTGCCAGAAAAAAGTCCATCACTATTTAAAGAATACAACAAAATCCAGCAGGTAACAATGTAAATTGAAAATATACATTACAATATCCAGCATCCAATCAAAAATTGTAGGCATTCAAAAAAGCAGGAAAATATGACCTATAACCAGAAGAATCATCAATCAGTAGAAGGATACCTACAAATGACAGATAAATCAGGTACTGTAATATATTCCCTCTAGTAAAGAAGGTAGCACAGGGACGCCTGGGTGGCTCAGTTGGTTAAGCGGCTGCCTTTGGCTCAGGTCATGATGCCAGCATCCTGGGATCGAGTCCCACATCAGGCTCCTTGCTCAGCGGGGAGCCTGCTTCTCCCTCTGCCTCTAGCCTGCCACTCTGTCTGCCTGTGCTCGCGCTCTGTCTCTCTCTCTTTCTAACAAATAAATAAAATCTTAAAAAAAAAAAAAAGGGTAGCACAAAACATGAACATGATGAGGCAATGGAAATTATTAAAAAGCAATACAAATAAAACTTCTAGAGTAAAAACTACAGAAAAAAAAAGATAAGGAGACATGAAGACATAGCGACAGAAACCTACCATTTTGCCCCTGGTACCCCAAAATTCACATCCTTTCACATTCAAAATATATTCACTCCATCCCAGCAGCCCCAAAATCTTAACTCATTCCAGCATCAACTCAAAAGTCTGAAGTTCAAAGACTCATCTGAATACCAACTAAATCATATTTGGGTGAGACTCAAGGTACCATTCATTCATCTTTAAGTAAACTGCCCTCCAGCTGTGAATCTGTGAACTCGAACAATTTAAATGCTCCCAAAATATGACAGGACAGCCATAAGATAGGTATTTCTGTTCCAAAAGGAAGCAGAAAAAAAGGAATTACGGTCCCAAGCAAGTCTAAAACCCAACAGGGCAAATTCTAACAGATCCAAGGCTTGAGAATAATCCTCTTTGACATGACAATCTGTTCTCCCAGCCCACTAGGGCAGAGGTCTTGCCTACAGGACACATTGGGACAAGGTTTCTGTCCTTGTTTACCAGAGGTTGGCCCCAAAACTCCCGGCTGCCCAGCCCCTGTGGATTTGGGGGGCTCCATCCTTTGAAATCTAGGTGGAGACAGCCATTCTCACTGGGCCTGTGTACTCTCCCCTGCTGCAAACAACACACCCCATCAAAGTTTGCTGTCTGAACCATATGGCGGGCAGCTGCTGCACCAGGCACTTACAGAGCTGCACCTTGGGCAACCGAGGAGCTCAGCACCTGCAGAGCCCTCATTGTGAGGCAGCACCAGGTAGCATGCAGGTATCCAAGCCCTAGCAGCTCTTCTTTGAAAGCACACTGCCATATAAGCATTTTAAAAAATAAAAAATAATACATTATACATGCACATTGTATTATAGGAGCATAAATGAAGTGATAATCTATTAAAAAGGAGAAAATAATTTTTTAAAAATATTTACCACAAGCTTTAGAAGCAGCAACACAAATTTCTTCTGCAACATACTCCCCAGTTGGAAACTTCAGATACTCTCCTTCAGCTTTCTCAAGAGAATGATAAAGATACACCTGCAGGAGTGGATCTATTTGCTTCACCGGATTAGCATTTCCAGGAATATCACCATTCTGATGTACAGGAGATACGGACGTTCCTTCCATTTCTGTCATTGTAAGGCAAGCCATCCCCATGCAGAGTTTTTTTCAGAACATTTGCCTGTTAAGAAAAAAAACAGTAAATTACAAAATGAAGTGATACTGATAAGGCATCCCTCATATATAAAGAAGGCTTCACTGAAAGCAGTGACTTTGTTAAATTCATTAACTGAAAAAATACTGTGTACCACTATACAAAGCATAGTGAGAGAAATTGAGATTATAAACTTCCTGTGGACAAGGACCATAAAGCTGAAGTTTCCAATTAAACTGAGGAAACGTAATACAGATATGTAATATTAACAAAACAAACAAAACTAGTCACAGGACAGAAGAGATCCCACTAGACAACATAAATTCTCAACAAATGAATTACTATGACAATTGCTTATTGGATGTCTGGAGGGGGTAAATAACATTTCAAACTGGGTTAAAACTGATGAGTTTTAGGGGCGCCTGGGTGGCTCAGTGGATTAAAGCCTCTGCCTTTGGCTCAGGTCATGATCCCAGGGTCCTGGGATGGAGCCCCGCATCGGGCTCTCTGCTCAGCAGGGAGCCTGCTTCCCTCTCTCTCTCTGCCTGCCTCTCTGCCTACTTGTGATCTCTCTCTGTCAAATAAATAAATAAAATTTAAAAACAAAACAAAACAAAAAAAAAAAAACTGATGAGTTTTATTAGAGAGGTCACATTTAAAACTGATTCTGTACAACAGACTGGATTTGTATAAATGAGAGAGTAGAACTGTGCTGAGAAGTAGGAAGGTACAAGATCAATTCTAATTTACTGGCCTGAAGTACAGTATTTGAGAAGTTATACCATTTAGGAAAGGAATAAAAAAAAAAATATTTGTGGCAAATTGCAACTACATACCCAAAAAACATTTTTCCTTCCTCCTTGATAGAGCCCAGTTTTGTTGGGAAGAGCAACATACCCCCAAAGAACTGTACTTTCCCACAGATGGATAGCCCCGTGAACCAGTTTCAACAAATGAGATTTAAGTGGAGGTTACTGGGTGGTACTTCTAGGGGTCGTCCTTAAAAGGAAGATGACTTGGCTTCCTTTTTGCCTTTTGCTTTTCCCCTTTCATTTTCTTCCTACCTGCCTCTGAGCATAAATACCAGGTAGGGCAGTCATTTTAAAACCATGGAGCAACCGGGAAGGAAATGCCAAGAGAATAAAAGACCTAGCAAACTTAAGCATCCAAATCAATGTCAAGAATCACCTATCTACCACCAGACATCTTATTTTCTGTAAATGAATGCAATCCTAATTGCTATAGTGCAATATTAAGAAAAATCTGAGTATCGGATCAAAGAACTTAAGAGGCACCTGGCTGGTTCAGTTGGTAGGGCATGCCACTCTTAATCTCAGGGTCATGAGTTCAAGCCCCACAGTGGGCATGAAGCCTACTTAAGAATAAATATACAAATAAATAGATCAGATCAAAGAAGTTAAACTTTATCCTACGGTCAATGATGAATTAGAAAGTTGAAATCAGAAACAGTTAAAAGGCGACTTCAATAGTCCAGGTAGAGGTAAGATCCTGAAGTGAAACTTTAACAGTTGAATCATGAATGGTAATGTAACAGCAAGAATTCATGCAACTTGGTAATTAACTGAATATAGAAAAAGACAGGAGTCCAGTTATGGGATGAATAAGTCACAGGAATAAAAGATACAGCACAGGGAACATAGTAATACTATAATAGTGTACAATAATATAATAGTGTTGATGGCTACACTTGTGAGCACAGCATAATGTATAGAGATGCTGAATCTCTATACTGTACACCTGATACTAATGCAACACTGTGTTTCAACTATACTAAAAAAAAAAAATGTTTTTAAAGCCAGTTGTAAAAGGCGGTGTGAATATTTCAGGTTTAGATGGTGTGAATATTTCAGGTTTAGGAGATCTATAATACCACTCACGGAAATGAGAAAATGAAGACTTTGCCCCTTGACACTGGCAGGTAAGGAGAATCAAGACTGCTGCTTTACACACTTTTGTTTGGAAATGAAGTAGGGCAATTACACAAGCATCTAGCTAGCAGCTAAACATGAGACTGACATCAGAAAGAGCTAAAAATCTCACAACCTTTCCCACAGATGTACTCATTTAACTCATGAGCAGAGCCATGTGAAGGAAAAAGGGGAAAATAACAGCAAACATACAGCATACAGCATTTACTGAGTGCCAAGCACCATACTAAGTTTAGACATTAAAGGAAAGAGAAACGATGATTAAGTGAAGTGCAAGGTGAAATTCAGCTCTGTATCTAACTATAAGGACCTTATTAAATTAGAGAAAACACTAGAGTTTAATACTTAGTTCTTCAAATAACTGGGGACTTCCAGTAGAGAAACGAGAAACAAGAAACTGGCAATTGTTAAAACCACAAGATTTGTGAAGTCTACCTGCAAGTGGATACACAAATTCAAACAATTTTAATTTGTTCAAAAATAAAAATTTTTATAAATTTTCTTTTAATTTATTATACTCTTTTTTTACTCAGAGAACATCATCTAAAATGAACTCTTAGCCATTAAGGGGCAAATATGCAAGCATTTCATCAATTTGTCCTCACCATTGTTTTGGATCCTATACTTTCCTTCTGGACTTTGTTTTCTACTGAAGTGTGTCTTTTAGTAGGTCTCTCAGTGAGGCCCTAACGATTTTTAAGTTTTAGTCTTTGTTTGAAAAAAATATTTTTCCCACCATACTGAAATATAATTGACAAAACTGGAACATACTTAGAGTATACAATATAATGATTTACATTGTATACACTGTGAAATGATTCCCTAGCACTGAGTTCGCACATCCTGTCACCTCATGAAGGTACTTTTTATACCCCAGTGAGGACATTTAATTTCTATTCTCTTAGAAAATGTAAATTATACAATACAATGTTCACAACTATAGTCACCATGTTATATTTGATCTTCAAAACTTATCTACCTTATAACTGAAAATCTATATAGCCTTTTACCAATTTCTCCCAAATCCCAGTCCCTAGCAAGACTTTTCTACTATCTGTTTCTTAGAGTTAGACTTTTTTTAAAAAATTATACATGTAAGTGGTACCATGCAGTATTTGTCATTCTAACTTATTTTACTTGCCCCTGAGGTTTCTCCATGTTGTTGCAAATAATGTGTATTCCTTTTTTTTAAGGCTGATACTCCTCCTCCTCTGTGTGTGTGTGTGTGTGTGTGTGTGTGTGTGTGTACACATACATACTTACTTCTTCCTATTTGGATGCTTTTGATATCCTATACAAACCCATACAATCTACTGATAATAATTACAAACACTAGAACAAACTGTCCTTAAAAAACATTGAAGATATTGACAAGCAAACAAAAGCAGACAGCAACTGAAGGAGCTATGACCCTTGACCAAAGGAAAAACACTGAATGAGGTCCATATTCTTCCATCTTTTATCCTGAAGAACTACAAAGTCTTCGTAGTGCCCAAGTGGTTGCTGGAAAAGATGATAGAGTTCTTATACAAAGTTGTAATCTTACTGGCTGGAAGAATCAAGGAAGCTGCTAAATCAGAAAGAAATCAAAGGCAGAAATCCTGGGAAAAAAGAGGGGCTGATTCCTGAACTCCCATGCATGGGATGAAAATCCAAAAAGCCCAGGGAGAGGCAATAACTAGGAACCTAAAAGAAATAGGAAGAGATTTCATTAGCTACCTAGTCCTGGGGAATCAGAGTTTGAATGCAGAAGGAATTGGTAAATATCCTACCCTTTTCACCGACACTCCAGAAAAGGCACATTTGAGGAATAAGAGCCACATATCAGAAGTAAGGACAAAACTGGAATGAACAGTCCTAACAAAGCCTAACACCAAGCCCCCACAGGGTGAACTACCTGCTACAACAAAGCTCTACACTTCAAAGAAGGACTGAAATCCACATTACCCACGGTTTATACAAGATACCATCCACAACAGACAACTGTCAACTGAAACTTATTAAACATAAAGAAAAAATGTTATAGAGAGTCAAGAGATAAAATATGAAGAAAGGAATAACAGCAAATCCAAATGTTGAATTTATTTTATAAAATTTGTTCACTATGATACAAATGTAATAGACTCACATTAAAAGATAAATGCATGAAGATATAAAAACCATATGACCTCTACAATACTGAGCAATCCAACACATGTGAACAAGACAGAAGAAATACTTGGAAAAATATTTGCTAAATTTTTTCTAAAACTGAATATCTCAAATCACGAATACAAACAGTTCATATAGCCCCAATTTGTAAAAATCCGTATCTAGTTACATCATAATAAAATTGTTAAAAATCAAAGAGAAAATCTGAAAAGTAGCCACATACATACAAGAGAGCCATGATAAAACTTACAACCGACATCTCAAAAACGACCTTTAAAATTTAAGATAAACCAATATGTTTTCAGATAAATGAATGCTGAGAGAACACATCACCAAAAACCGCCCCCAAACTTTAAGAAATGCTTAAATAAAAAAGGTCTCTGGATTAAGGCAAATGATACCAGATGCAAACTTAGATTTGTAGAATGGAATGAAGAACTCAAAAATAGTAAATATGTGGGTAAGTATAACATCCTATTTTTCTTTCTTTTCTTAAATTTTTAAAAAGACAATAACAATTATTTAAAAGCATGATAATAGACAGTGAAATTTATAATAGATGTAAAAGCAAAAGAGATAGCAAGAATAGCCAAAAGGATGAAAAGGAGTAAAATGAAAAGTACATGGGACAAAATTCATGAGAGCTTGGAAAAATAAGAAACAGTGCTATCAGCAAAATCAGAAATTTCAAAGAACTGATGGAAGATAAAAAGTAGATAGGAACAGATGACAGACACAACAGAATGGAGGAAATACTCTATTTAAAATACATACAGAAGGGGGTATTTAAAAATAGTCTGCATACACATACAAAAAGCATAAATATGGAGTGATAAGGATCATCACATATTAGGGGGAAGGGGGACAGGAAGAACGCATGGAAGAAGAGGGCCAAAATGAGCAGCAAAACAGCCGACTCCAGATGAA